CATGCATGCCTGCACTACTGTTCTCATTCTCTGTGAGAAAGACACAGGGTGCTGAGGAGACTCAACTACGTGTCTGCTAGCAAGCGTGAATACCTGAGTTCTGATCTGAGGGACCCAGCAGGCACACTGGCACAAGCTTGTGGAGACAGGATGATCCTGCCTGACTTTGTATTTTAGCAGCCTCCACTGTTCTCAAGTAGGGCAGTCACTCTAGCTATTTGTGTGACCCACAGGGATGATGTTTTACAATCTGATACTGTTTACGAGCCGGTTCTGGTATGGATTCCAGGACTGAGAAATCCATCCTTTCTGCTTCCTGGGGTCTTCACCAGGTGAATAAACGCCAAGCCTCATAGTGAGTATTCAACAAAGCCCCCTGGACACTGAACGAGGGGCTGAATAGACCAAGGGTGCTTAAAGGCAGGTGGGTGCTGGCTATGAGCTGGCACAGTCCTTCTCTCGTGGGACAATGCTCACCCTCCACCTCGCCCTGCACCTTCACCAGTTCTAACAAGCTCCGCCCTGCTGGAGCACTGACCATGAGCCAGGAATATCTTGTAAGCCTTCCCAAGGCTATGAACGCTGTGTGACGTAGGCAAGTTTCCTACCTGTGCAGGGTATCAGCTTATTCACAGGAAACATGTGTGTGTGTGTGTGTGTGTGTGTGTGTGTGGTGTGTGTGGCGGCGGCGGCGAGGTGGGGGGGGGTTGCCATGATGCTTCAGTAAACATCTTGCCCTCCCACACACACACACTCTGCCTGTCTCCATTGCCATGGAGTGTAAGGGATTCTCCTAAGAATAGAGGATCCCATATTTCTAGGGGAATAAGGGGCATGAGCAAGGACTTCCCAGACCCGTACCGTGGGCAGCCATGTGCTGCTGAAGGAGACCCTCTGAGGAGCAAGGAGAGGATGCAAGAAACTACAGGGTAGAGCAGGATGGCACCTTCTCGGGAACAGGAAAGGAGGAAAACCTCACTTCTACAGAGATTTTTCTGGTTGCCACCACGGCCCTTGCATCTATAGGACTTGACCACACATTCCCAGGTGCTGGGGGATGGTCTGTATGTCAAATTGCTCTGATTGGTCAATAAATAAAACACTGATTGGCCAGTG